TTTTTTTTTTTTTTTTTTTTTTTTTTTTTTTTTTTTTTTTTTTTTTTCATCTCTGCACTTGTCTCTTGCGAGAAAAAATTATAGCGATACAGCAACTGCCTCGCGCATTGGAAGAGCTCTCACAATTTTTTCTTTGTGCATCAAACAATCCCCGATCGAGGATACCCATCATGATTATCAACTCTTTCTCTCTATCTCTTGTTTCAGATCATAAAGACGAACGTCCTGATGTCACGGGCCAAACAGTACGAGCAGTCCTTCAAAAATAGCATGCTCACGCCTAGGCTGTACAAGCCGATCGGCATAACGTGCGGCCTCATGTTCTTCCAAAGATTTTCGGGGGCCAACACCTTCAACTACTACGCTGTGAATATCTTCCGCCAGACCCTCGGCGACATAAACCCCCACAACGCGACGATAGCCATTGGGTTCGTCCAACTGTTGGCCTCGCTTCTCTCGGGTGAGTCACCACGTACACCGATATATCAATACTTTGGCTTATTAATTGAAACGTCTTCACATCAAAATTCATCTGTAATTGGCCTATACAGGCTTCCTGATCGACGTGGTCGGCCGATTGCCGCTCCTGATAGCCAGCGCGGTCTTCATGTCGCTGGCGCTCGCGGGCTTCGGTAGCTACGCCTACTACAACTCGATGTCACAGCTGCAGAGCATCCCAGCCTCGACTTACGCCGCTGAGGCGACGGTGACGATGACGGGCCAGTACGACTGGATACCACTGATCTGCGTCCTCGTCTTCACCACGGCCTTCGCCCTGGGCATCTCGCCCATATCTTGGCTTCTCATCGGTGAGCTCTTCCCACTCGAGTATCGCGGTCTCGGCTCGAGCATCAGCACCAGTTTCAGTTACTTCTGCGCCTTCATCGCCACCAAGCTCTACATGGACTTTCAGCAGGTGAGCGAATTTCAAAATTGCATCCGTATTGAAAAAAAAAAAAAAAAAAAAAAGGGATCGCCGTATGACGTTTATAGAAACGAAATGTATTTTATATGAAATATATGTAAAGTGAGAGCAAATTACAAAATCGTTGTCATGAAATTTCTCCGGTGTAATAGACGCTCAGGTGTAAAAGATAGAAGCATCTTGTAATTACACACATGCATTTACATTTGCATGTTTTGCAAAATTAGAGAACGAGATATGTCGTTGCATCGAAGTGAAATGTCCGGACGGACGTTCCTTGGGTACCGTTCGGACAACTATTATGCATACTCATGAATTAATTATGGTAGGCTCTGTACAATAACTTCTCTTAGAATCGAACGATACAATAAAAAAACGATACTCTGCACTGTGCACTTTTGTGAATTGAAGTTTTTCTGTATATAATCGTAGTGACGAGAACAATGATTCTTTTATTGCGAAACGCAAAGGCTATACGTCTTATAGTAAAAAATAGCTAGTATACGCAGTAAGGCTACCCTTGAAATTTCCAAAGTCAGTATCACTTGTTTCCTGATTCCCATAAAAAAAATTTATTTTATTGAACAATCGAAATAATATTATAAATATTTGGATTAATGATTATTGGTAATCTAAAATATCGCTTTCAACGTTTACTGCAATTGTGAAAATTTTGAGACGCTCGATAAATAATTGAATTTTCCTGTACACTGAGAAAAATGATGATCGGAAGGTGAGGAAAGTCCATTTGAATTCTAAAAAGACATATCAATTTTCGTTTTGGACCCAAAAATGTTTACGACAGGCGGAAGAGTCTGAGACTATGGCAAATGTAAAATTCAATCGACTAGATTTTTAAGATTCATTTTTTTTCAGTGTGCCTTTTTTAAGCACGTGTAAATAAACTGATTCCAAAATTACGTAGTCTTCATACGAGTGAGAAAAAAAAATTACGCGTAAAAAGCTTTAACGAGTCTCCACTTTTTTCTACAAAAAAAAATTGTCATCGAGTCTAATAATAGGAGTCAAATTAAAATAGTCGCCGAAGAAGCTCTCACGCTTTACTTCCTTACGTTATACTTTCCCACTGCCTCCTTTCTCAAGGGAATTTTTTCTCAACTATATCTCAATGACAATTTACGTGTACACCGCGAGCAAGATTTTTTTTTTTTTTTTTTCAGCAAACTGATACATTCCAAGCGTCCAGCTTGGATGTGTCTATACATAAAATTTCTGAATTATAGGTAAGCTAACGAAAGACAATAAGTAGTTGCAAATGTATAGTAAATAATCTTCGAAACAAGCGGCAATCCTGTGGTTTAGACCAACGGACAAGACTTGATTACAACGTAAATAAACAAAAACTATTTGTTTTTCAAACAATTCCGAAATACCTTAATATACATGAAATAAACTTAACGTATACATTACAATAGTAACGTATAGTAATAGGAACGATTTAAGCGGAAACGCGCGCGATACGTTGTGTAGGTAATTTGTGTAAGGTAAAAATCAATTGAATTATAAAGAAATGACGATAATAATGAAACTTAACGACAATAAAATAATGGATGCTTGAGAGATATACATATATACATATATATATATATAAATATTATTATACATGATTGATAGCCGAGTGTACACGAACGAGAGTGAAGATTGATTTTCAATAAGTGTATAATAAGTACACGAAAACGAGAGCTATATATGATGCGAAAAAGAAAAATTCTCGTGGCTCGACGGTCTTTTGGAAAGACCGTTCGCCTCCTCCAGCTTCGCTTGCTAGATTTAATATTTTTGTAATGACGCCTTAGCCGTATGCATTGCTTGTTTATACCTTCGTAGTTTTTAAGCGCAGCTCTTGCACGTACACCACGTGGGAATACGTATACATCTTGAAAATAATGTCCTTCATCTCTAAAATTAACACTTTTTCAGCTCTCATTGTTTGAAGGTAACAAGGTATTGTAGCTAATGAGTGAGTAAAAGTATCGAAGAATAATTGAAAAAATATGAATTTTCATGGATACTCAATCGTTGGCTTTAGTGATTTTTAAATTTTAAAGAAGTGTGGGGGCTAAAAACTTTTGACTTTGGAGATGATGGACATTCTCAGTTACATACATGTACATATACACATGTATATAGTAGACACAGCTCTTGCGATGAAACGAAAGACGATGAATAAGTCCAGTGTAACGTGAGTATGGGAGTATATTTTGCTTATCTGGTGTGTGCGGGAGCGTGAGAATGGCTTCACGTTTTTCGAAAAAGGTGAATGCATCATTGGAGTCAAGGCCGAAATGAACCGTGTGATCTGCATAGAATATATTATTTTGTAAAAAGTTTTATGCGTCTTCCTTTGTCGTTACGTAATTTAATTTAATGTAATATATAAAAATAAAGTTCTCTGAGAAACGATTGTCTCAACTTTATAGAGTACTACTGTTCTATAGAATAGAGAGATACTGATCTTTTTCAAAGTCTATAATACAAAAGTAACAAAATGTATCGATCAATGAGGTACGTTTGAATTTTAAAGCTTAAAAAGTTCAACACCAAGAGTTTCTAAAATCTTTTTATCTTTAAATAGGATGACTTAGAAAAATATTAAAGCCATGAAATTTTATTTGTTACTTAACAATACGTTAAACAATCATGGCCATTTGCATTTATACCTTGTCCTTTTTCTCATTCTAACAGAAGCTTGCTTTTCCTTGGCAAGCATTGAAGAGGTGTATTTTATGTTAAAATGTGTGTACTTAAATCTCAACTTGTAATAATATAATTGATGACCCGCCTTTGTACCTTTGTAGAAAAAGTTATCAATATATCAAGCCATACATGATTGCTACAAGAAACAGTCGGCAGAACCAAAATGTTGCGTGTTTGTATAAAATTAAACATACTAGAAAATATATACTACTGCTAAATAGAAGTACTCGATACAACTTGTCTTGTTTTGAATTTTGCCTTTCACCTAATCCCATGCTGTATTTGGTACGCATTTTCTTATAAAATTTCAATTTGTGTTACTACGTGATTCATGAGATTTTATTTTGTTTATAAACATTGATTAGACTCACCTAATTGTGGAACTGACATGTACGTATCGCAGTCAACCAGAAAGTGTCCAGCTGGTTTGGCACCCAATGTAATAACTTTTTTGGTCAATTGTTCAATAATCTGAGGACCAGTTTTGTTATCTGTTGTGGGATACTGATATAACCTAAAAAAGTGACATGAAAATTTATGAACGTATTCAATCCTGTTTCTGAATAAATTGACCACAGGTATCCAAATGAAGCTATGTTATAAAACTTTATTGCACATTAAAATAAAAAGTATAAATTATTCATTATGAAAAGAGGCCAAGTCGAACATGCAAAATAACAGAAAGATAATGAGCAAGGACAGATATAAGGGAGTTGTACACTTACATTGTGAAACCCATTATTCTTGAATATTTTTGCACTCAATACTCACAATTAAAATCTACATTTACATAAAAAAAATAACACAAAACACGTTTGTTTACACCGGTTAGTTGACACCGAGACGTGATACATATATACATACATACAGAAACGGGACGACAATAGCAGACAGCCTCTCTCAGCTGTCGTTTGAGCCACCGGTCAACGGTAAAAAAGAGTTTAACCTCATCTTTTAATGGTAAGATTCCGAAAGTCGCATCCAGCGATCTCGTTATGAACCACTGTAGGATAAAAATTCAAAAGCATATTTGTGTACTTCTTTTTTTATCTCAAGTTGCCGAAAGAATAACCAATAAATTACATCATAATGTAAATAGGTAAATAGATTTTACATTAACTGGAGCCTGACAGTTAAAAGTCTTGAAAGTCTTGTCAACGAGACAGCAGAGGTCACGAGTAGTACGTAAGCTGCAGACAGCTGTCCTTTCTGCCGCTCACAGGCTCACAGCCAGCCATCAGATCTCCGAGCTCGTTCGTGAGCATCAAAGAGTTGCGCCTCATCCGCCGTCGGTGTTGCTCTCGAGGGTGTCTGTTGTCCGCGTCGCGGATGGCTTTCGTTGTAAGCCTTCATCCGCGATCATAAATCGTGTGTGTGCATAATATATATAAATCTATATATACCTACCGCCAGTGCAACGAGCGATACAACTGTAGATCTTCGCAGGGCCTTCGGTACAGTCATCCTCGGCGTCGGGAGACACGAAGGAAGAGGAGACTAAGGTAGGTCTACGAATGCTCTTTAAAACTGGTTGCTGGATAGCCATGAGTAACGATATATTATAAAGAAGACCCGCCAGCTCCGTTATAAGTATATATATGATGGTGCACCACACTGTACGTGGGTGGTTCGTGGAAAGTCCTTTCTTTCCATGGTCCGTGATGCTCCGGGCTCCGGCACTCGCTGAGGAAGGTTAGGGTCGATGTTGTTTTGTATGCGACCATCCTTGCACATAATATACCAGAGTTGCTAAAATAATTGTGTGTGGGTGAAAAGAGTTGTGTCTCTTGTCTCTGTGAATTAATTCGGAACCGTACAAGAAGTTTATATTTGTTTACATTTTCGGAGCCTGTCATTCTACTTTATTCATCTCAATTAATAATAAAAATAAAAAGCATCAGCCGCCTTATTAAATGATTAGCAGTGTTGTAGGCACGCCTTGTATATACATTGAGCGCTGTCTGCTGCTGCTGCTTGAAAAACGTATTTTAACACAAATAGTCGAACGAATGGTGATTTGTAAAAAATGTTATTAAATGCAAAACTAAGAGATTCCATTGATTTACCGAGTGAAGGATTTTAGCACACATTCGCATAACTTTGGCACTCGTGCACTTTACAAACTAAACCCGGCTGTCTGGTCCAGAGATATTTCCGTCAGAACAGTCGGTTATATATAGGTACTCATATACAGCCAAGTACGTGTACCAGAATAGAGTTGTACAGAGCGAGAAATCGAGATAAGTTAGCAGCTGCCGCGAGCGAATGCACCGGGCGCAAGTTCTCTCCATATTCGGGCATCATGTGCACACACAACATATATACTCCCTCCTCCCTTTTACTCGGTCATGCAACGGCACAGTACATGTATTATATTTATATAGTCACAGCAAGCCCTTTAAATTTTAGAGTTTTTTTTTTTTTATTAAGTACTCAGCTGAATCCGACGCTGAGAAAAACTTTGATTCGCATTCATGAGCTACTGCGCATTTAGGTTAAGTTTTTTTGTTTTTTTTCTTTTGGCGTGCGTATAACGTAGCTTTCTTTTTTTCCTTTTTTCCGAGTATTTGATCATTCCGTGCACTGAGAAGTGTTTCGCTGCCATTAAAAGCGTAAGAGGATGTTTACTTGGATTGCTATGGTTTATTTGATTAAAAAACATTATTTTTTCACTTTTACATGACTTCAAATTTCAACACATGCAATGTACTTTGTTCAGTTTTTTTTGTGCGGTATAGTATAAGCTTTGAAAGGCCAATTACATATTTACAAGAGATGACGTGTACTTTCTTTGCGATTACAATGTGTCACAACAGTATATCATAATCGCGTATAGTCACAAAGTAGTAGATTAATGTACTCGACGAATCATTAACTTTTTTTTCTTTTCATTTGTTTATTGAAAATAATTTATTCCTAAGCAAATGTGTCAACTAATTATTTACTATTGCAATAAAAACTAAAAATTTCACAACCAATTGAGCTACAGATCAAAAAAAGCACCGACAAAAGCTTATAACAAACCCTGTAGGTATTTACGGTTGTTGTTGAAGCTCCATAAAGAATATGGGTATCAATTATTCGCCCAATTGGCCTATACCAAGATGTAAAAAAGGAAAAAAATGCTAACCGGTTATCGTTTAAGTATACACAATGGACTGTGCTTACGACACGCCTGACGTAATTGAGTGTGCAACGAGAGGAGCTGCTTCTGCAGGAGCTGTTGTGGGCCTATACTTATGTTGATCATCTCTTTTTCGCTTTCGAGTGCTCTCACAAGGTCGATACGCCGGACAGCCAATCGAGACAAATTAAAAAAGAAGAGACCGGTGTTTTAATTTTTTTAATACTAGTTGGGAAAAAGAAAAAAAAAAATTCTAATGTTGAAGTACTGGCGAATAAAGAAACGAAGAAAAAAAAAAATTGAGGAGAGAAGCACCGTGAAATTTTAATCAACCCGCTGAATAAGGTAGACAGCCTCCCACGCAAATTCTGCTTACCCAATTGCTCTCTCTCTCTCTCTTATAATATATTCCTCACCGGCACTCGAGCCCGAGAGATCAAAGAGAGACTTGAAGTTTGTATAACGGTATACCACCATTCGGCGGTTTTGACAGCGGCGGGGCATCATCTCGCCACTTTTACCGAAATCCCCCTCCGATATACACCTACTTGTACTTTATGCACCAGAACCGAGCCACGAATCCCAATTTTCTCCCCCGCGAAAAAAATAACGTACCTAATCAAATGTGCGACTCGGACTATCGCGCTTGTAGGTACTACTATAATATAATTGACATGTATATAATGCGTGGGGGTGGATATGCGGATTATGCAAGATTACGAAGAGAAATCTTGTCGAGGTGTGCGCGATAAGAAAGAAAATCGCGGCGTAATGTTATCCGTAAAAACGAGCGGAAGTGCCAAAGGGTATGGAAAAACTTGCGATTATATGCACGCCCGTTCAAGGATGCAATGCGAAAAAATATGTGCATCAGGGACGCGTACCGCAAGTGCCAAGTGCACGGGACGATGAGTGTACTTTGTGTGCCACCGTTTTTTTTTTTTTTGCGCCACTGTGCCGTGGATGGAAAAGAAGCGCAATGGCGTGTACCTACATACAAGTTCTCTGAAGGTCTATTTCCGCGACTCTTCTCTCTTTCCTCTTGCACTCGTATTATATTTATATTCCGGCAGCTGGCGATGGAAGCTTTCTCTTTCTCACGTCTCTGTGGGTGTACATCGCGTATTATACCTACGTCAGATGCAAAGCTTGAGAGACGAAAAATTGAAGAGATGCAACGGCAATGCGCATATGTATAACTGTATGGGCACTTGAGCGCCCAGTCTTTGAACATAAGGGCTTGTATCTTTGCACGTAACTCCTTCCTGGAAACTTTCTACAAGCCTTTTTTTGTGGATTACATTTCTTTTCTGTAACTACTTGGCTTTCAAATAAGGAAGAAGAAGAATAATCGTTATTAGTTTTCAAAAGTCGTTGTACTCGCTCGAGGGAGGGGGAAAAAAAAAAGTTGTAATAAAAAAACTTTTAATGCTGTTTGAAAAGTTTCTCCTGGCAAATGTAAACGGAATATTGAGGCGAAGCTTGAAAATAGCAGTGTGGCAAAAAAATTTTTTCTTTACTCGCTCGATTTTTCTCCGAAATTAACAACCGCATGAAGTAAAATTGATTTACTGTAGATAAAAAATATTGGAGGATTTTTTGTATCACTTTCATCGACATTTTTTATAACAAGATGCAGAGGTGAATATGACCGTGCTGACCTTGTCACATACTGCATTTTTCATTAAAAAACGAATTAATTAAAAAAAGGAAGAAAAAAAAATTGGGCTGAGGAGTTGAATAAAATTCCACGAGTCAGTTTATTGGCTTTCTCTAGGCGTACCAGTCGTATATTATATGCCTCGAATAGTTCCGTGCAATAATGACATTTTTTACATTCGGGGCTCATTCAAATAAAAAGTGAGTTATGGGACACTAAAGTCTTGGACGTGCGTGCATCGGCGCGATAGCATTTGATCCGAAATAAGTATTTGACTTTCGTATTAACTCACGATTGGTTGAATTTCCATTTGGCAGGGAAAGGATCGTAAATTTTTTTTTTAACTTTCAAACGTATTTGTACGGTACATATCTAAATGAAAAAAATCACGTGATTTCGTTTTTCAGTGCACTTTTTTAAAAGTACTGCAAACAAAAGGGAAGACAAAAATGAATAACCCAATAACTCACATTTCTGATGAGTTTAAGTATCCGTGCCAGCTTAAACTGGGAGAAACTGTTTTTTGAAAACACTTGCCAGTAGAAAATCGTACTTTACGCACCAAAACCAGTAAATTTACGCACACGGTTGTAAAAATAAAATTTTTATGTTATACTGCAGCTAAAAGACTCCCGTGCAAAATGCGTGCTTTATTCCGAAACTTATCAAGTGAACCCGTGGGGTCGGTCAGAGAGCCGTGCAGAGCTTGAGAGAACTCACAGTGGCAGCTAGAAAAAAGAAATGAAAAATAATCGCCGACTCGAGAGAGCGGTAGCTGCACCCAATATAACAAAACGCTGACGGTGGTGGTGCGACTCCCTCTCTCTTTCTCGCACAAGCTAATTCGATAACTACGACCCTCCCAACCTCTCACTCTGCTTTGTACCACCCGCGCAATTATATGAGCCGTCCACGCGCAGCTGGAGCTCCAAAGTGAACAAGAGAGAGAGAGACCGAATTCCCGCGGGCTCGGCGACCATTAATGCATGAATAATATTCCTGCTGAT